CGCACATTGCACAGATTAGGATTTTTGTAAAAATACTTCATAACGCACCTGCCATCTTGCAAATACCAAGATTTTTTTTTTTTAAGCATATTCCATAACTTTTACTGATCAGTTCAGCAGCAGCAGTTTCCTTTTTATTGTTTTGGGGGGAGGGAGAAGAAAGGGAGCTTTATCTGAACTCATCTTTACAGCTTCGATACAGTGTTTGACTGACATTTATGGCATGCTGATTTCTCCCTTGCAGAAGAGAAACCCGATTGCTCCAAGGCCCGCTGTGAAGTCCAGTTTTCTCCTCGCTGCCCAGAAGATTCCATCCTGATTGAAGGTTATGCTCCTCCTGGCGAATGCTGTCCGCTCCCGAGCCGTTGCGTGTGTAATCCTGCAGGCTGCTTGAGGAAGGTTTGCCAACCTGGCTATTTGAATATATTGGTTTCTAAGGCGTCAGGAAAGCCAGGGGAATGCTGTGATCTCTATGAATGTAAACCAGGTAAAAGTGGACGTGATTTCCCCCCCCTCTCCCCCTCCATTTTTCAACTTTTTTGTAACTTCCTGACAAGCGCAATAACATATAATTGCGTCTAATGAAGCCTATATAGCTTCTAAATTCTTCTGATTCTTCCTCAGAGTTAAAATGGTTATATGTGGGCAATACCCAGTAAAAAAAAAAAAGAAATATTATGATAAATTTTACTTTCTTTTTTTTCTTCAGACATTAACTTAAACTGAGCAATAAGGGAAAAGTAGCCTAGTGAGAATATTGCATTTCTGTGGATGCTACTAGTGAAAGCGACGTACTTTATATACTGATTACATTATACAAAGGTTTTTCATAGTAGGAATATATTGTGCATGGACAGGGAATTAAGGTTTCTGTCTTAAGATTTCTCTAGATTACGAAGTGATGACCCTTAAACTGGAGAGCAAAAGGATTTTGGAGGCGCATAGTGAAAGGCTTTACAACTTTTTCAGTATTTACCCATTTTCCATTTCATGAGAACATGAATCACCCTTTCTTGTGATTTATTATTCTCAGTGAAGTGGAAGATGTAATTCACTCTTCTTTTTATCCAGGCTTTGCTAAGGATGAATAATAAAAACAGAGGGATGAAAGCAGGCATATAAAACTCTATAATCCAAAATCTTATATGCAAACAGGTTAGAGTATGCTTAACCTATGCCTTTACTATGCTTGTTTAACATTTTCTGAAATGTTCCATGGAAGGTAATTGTACAGTCTTTGTATCTTTTAGTGATTTTCTTTGTGTTTTTCCTAATATCCAATGCAAATCTGCCTGTGTGGAAATGCACGCAAACTTTTTCATCCTCTGTCCTGAGCAGCTGGTGAACAAGTCCTTATAAAAATTTTTGCTCTGGAATATTTTGTCAACCTTAGTCTTCTTTCATGTAGAATTAGCTGTAATTTCTTATGGCATAGTTTCCTTGGACCCCTTCCTTGTTATGTTGCTCCTCTGAAGTTTTCTTAAGTTTATCCACATGTCTTTAAAATGTGGTGTCTAAAAGCAGACTACTATTTTGGGTGAGTCTTCATCAGCACTAAATGCTGTAGAATAATTACTTTCTGTCTTTCATGCAAAATTCTAAATAAGAGCTGACTGTTTTACAAGAGTTATATTTAGTTTGTGAAATGCTGTGATCCCAAGATCTTTCTGTAGCATGACTGCTACTGAACCACTATATTTGTACGTTCTTTCTATATATACTTAAGGTATGCCTTTACTGAATTTTATCTTCCTGACTTTGGATTATTTCTTTATTTCTTAAAATAAATGTTAGCTGTGATCATGTCCCCCCAACTACTATTTGCATTCCCATCTTGTAGTTTTCAAATCAGACCAAACTTACCTTCGTAGGTTACTTATTGAAGGTTGCTTTCAGCTTATTACTACTACAGAATCTTCAAATTGAATATGCGATTATTTATTGCATTAGTGGATTTGTGTAGCTGTGTATATGTTGTTTTCTGAAGTAGTTTGTATTTTTTGTTGTAGGGAGCTAAGATGTGAAGGTACTGGAAAAATGAAGTTGCATGTCAGAAGGGTAGAAGAGCAGAGGCTTTGGACAGATTGGGGAAGGAGACTAACAGGATCTAAGGGAAGTGTAGGCTTTGCGATGGGGTTAGAAATTGAGAGGCTAAGGGAAAGCAGAGGGTTCTCCCTACCTTGGGAGATGATGAAAGTGTGTTTCTTAGGCTGGGGCTAAGAGGCCAAGGAGTGTAGGTGGGTATTCTTGTGCATCCCCCCAGTGATGGGTGATGGAAGGTACAATGCTGAACTGCAAACTACAGAGAAAGTGGGGCCCCTACTTGTTGCAGTGGCTTGGCTTCAGGGAAAAAAAGGGAGTGATATTAATATGGAATTGTTAGTCACTACATAGCCTGATTTTTGTCTAGTTAGACTTCAGTGGCTGCCCAGGTTTACTTTTATATCTTTCGTCTACATGTTTCTTCCGTTCACCGTTTGACATAGTGGGAAGATCACGAAGGAAAAACAAGCCGATGCAAGACTGGAAGGCAGGGAAAGGAGTAGGTGAATGTTGACAAATCCTAGTAGATCACAAATTACTTACCACAGAAGGTTTTGTTGTTTTTTGGTTTTTTTAATGACACATCTTTGCAAATCTGAACTTATAGACTAAACAAATGCTAATTTTTTTTTTTTTTAATGTTTCCTTTCTTGTAGAAAGTTTAGGGATTTTATTTTTAAATTTGCAAGCCAGCATGAACCTTGCTGGTTTTTTCCATCTAAACTGTTCCGTCATGTTCACCACTGTCTGTGGTCTTTCACTTTGTTCAAGACCAGGTAATAGAATATCTTGTTTTATTAGGATTATATATTCATAGGCTTATAGAATTATAGAATCATTTAGGTTGGAAGACTAGATGACTCTGGAGGTAGTTTAGTCCATCCTGCCTCTCTTGCACTGTTTTATGCCATTTATTCTCTATGTGTATATACATGTACTACTGTATATGTAGTAGCATATACCTGGGTTTATGTATGCATGAACACTGTGTGAATTATCTATGTGGATTTGCTCAAATAGTGGTCATAAAGTGAAGTCAGATAATGCTCCTTACATGGCAGGAATATTTATTCAGCCCATGGTAAGCCTGGTAATAAACCTTGTGTCTTCAGGGTTTGACCTGGAAACTTGAAGAAGTGTAGGAAAGAAGAGTTGGAGAGGAACCGAACTAGCAGTGCTCTGTTTCATATTTCTTCTGGTTTTAGTGCCATGTTGCTGGGGAAAAAAGGGGACAAGGGACAGTATAAGGCCTGTTAGATACATGTTCATGCAGAGTTTTTTATGGGGCTGATGTCACTGGTTTTACTGAATAGTGTCAGCGTGTCTGTGGCGTTTACATGTTGAACCGAGAAAACTGTTTTCCATATTTCGCCACAGACCTAAAACCTTTAGTTCTGTGAGTGCTGCAACCAGAACACTCTTCCTGCACCTCTACGTCTGCGTGACCAGCCTCCATAGGGGTTTTGCACCAACAGGGGCTTTCTGATGGAAACAAATGGCCAGAAGCTGGGAGGACGGCTTCCTGCGACAGCAGTGCTGCCTTATGCTTTAGTTGCGCAAATGCTTATTGGCATAAATTGTGTTTATTTCTGTTCCTTAAATAAGATGTCACTGCTCTCCAGTTTGCTGTGGCATTTGAGTTTGGAGCCTTCTGCTGAGAACTGCATATGTTCAAATACTGTGATTGGCAAATGAGTTACTGAAAGGAAAATAAGAAGTGTTTCCTTAGGTCTAAATGCTAGGGTAAAAATAAAATCTTTCGTTTTGAGATCCCCTTCCTCTTCTACCTCTTCTGCTTTAGGAATAAAACGATTAAAGGCATTGGCATTCAATTAAAATGAACAGTGAAGAGACTTAGTAGCTTAGTCATACCGGTCTGTTAACCCCCAGATTAATTTGTGTTAAATGTTCTAACACGTTGCTCCACCAAGCATCTCATCACCGTTGTGGTACCTACTGAGAACGAGTGTGTCGAGTCCCTTGTGTTCTGCTGCGGTTGCTGAGCTCAGAGGTGAGATGACAGTGAGCCGATGCCATAAGCGGCATGTTCCTTTTTTCCTCTTTGTTCCTAAGAGCTGTGCTATTCGTGAGCAGTGTATTGACTGAATGAGCACTGAATATACTTTTAAGCTGCGAGTTACAGTTCTTAAAAAATATTCTCAAAAATAAGTTGGTTTTTTTTTTTCTTAAAGATAGTTTGAATGAACGGTCTCAAATGGAGCTGCATGTGTTAATGGTAAAAATAAAAATAACCTGAAATAAGACTTGTGGGGGTATATGTGCCTCATCTGCTAAGAAGATAAAATCTTTCATTTTGAGATCCACTTCCTCTTCTACCTCTTCTACTTTAGGAATAAAACAATTAAAGGCATTGGCATTGGAATGGGTTGCCCAGAGAGGTGGTGGAGGCCCCATCCCTGGGAACATTCACAGCCAGGTTGGATGGGGCTGTGAGCAACCTGATGTGGTTAGCGGTGTCCCTGCTCCTGCAGGGGGGTTGGGCTAGATGGGCTCTAGGGATCCCTTCCAACCCAAAACATTCTGTGATTCTATGATAAAGTAGTATGAGCAATAAGATTTTTTAAATCATGTTTGTTTATTTAAAAATGGAGTTAAAACCTAATCTAAAAGGTATTTTGCTGAAATTGTGACAGGAACTCTAGCTGCTACTTCTGAATAAAGAAAGGTAAATAGTTTACTTTGGCAGTAATCCAACGGTTCTACCTTTATTGATAACTTTGTTGGTGTTGTTGTGTATGGTGAGGTGAGGAGTGGCATCTCTTAGGTTCTGACATCCTTGGGAAAGCACTGGGAGATGTCCGTCACACGAGGACAGAACCTCTGTTGAAAAGGCTGCTCATTTGTCGTTCTTCTCGCAGAGCTTTCATTCGCTCACCTTCTCCAACACCCCTGCATGGCCTAAAAATTACTCATACTGCAATGGAGTCTTTTTTCTGGTAGAAAATCCTGGTGTAAACACAATTGTAAAGAGAATGGTATTGTTTGGCTTGTTTGTACTGGACCCCCAGAAAGCTGTGACTTCTGGAAAAATCTGATGTCTTTCCTGTGCTGAGCCACTTTGTTGCATCAGAGATGCCAATGCTGCCTTGATCCCGGACCTTCAGATGCGTAGGTAGCTATTTAGATCTTGCCCCTGAACTGTACGTTGTATTCTCTGGAAAGCCAGCATAAATACATAAAGGTGAAACTTAATATACATGTGTTAACATATTCTACTCTGAAGTTATTTTCACCTAGGTATTAACAGTTTCATGACCAGAGACCTTGGGTTTTGTAGCCTACAAAGGAGGTTGCGCGCTACTGCAGCTATGTCAGGGTCTGCAACCATGGTAGGGTTTCTGCTATGTTCTTGTAGAAAAATTAGTGACTCTCAGATGCTACTGTATACAAATTCAGTGCATGAGAAAGTTCCTGAAGACTTGTAAGGAAAGGTTGATCAGGTCCATTTTCACTGATAGGAAATTGCAACATGTTTATGAGTTCTTGAAGGTACATACTTGTCATGTAATTTGTCATTTAAAACTTAAAGCTTCTAGGATAGACAAAAATCTTCAGACAGGATTTTCATTTTTTTTTCAGCTTACAATAAAATATATAATAATAGCTTATAACAGACCTGTTCGTGAAAAGTACATTTTGTAATTATTGGAATCAAAGCAAGATGTGAAAACAAGATGAGTAGTTCAGTGGCAAATGTTTGCAGTCTTATTTTTTAGGACGGTAGTACAGCTCATCTGGGAGACATGTTTTTAAGTAATGAAGAATCTGATTACAGGCTGTTCTGTAACCTCACAATATTTTCAGCTTATCGGGAAGTTTGTCTTAATACTTTTTCCAGTTTGAGAAACCCATTTAAATCTGAAAAAAAATAGGAATTTTTTTTTCCTCCTTCAAATATCTTTCATCTCTTACCTCTCTTCATCTCTACCCTGTGAGGAAAAGCTGAGAGAGCTGGGGCTGTTCAACCTGGAGAAGAAAAGGCTTGGGGGGATCTCATCAATGCATATAAATACCTGAAGGGAGGGGGTAAGGACGGAGCCAAGCTCTTCTCAGTGGTGCGCAATGGCAGGACCAGAGGCAGCGGACACAAACTGAAACAACGGAGGTTCCCTCTGAACATCAGGGAGCACTTTTTCACCACAAGGGTGACCAAGCACTGGCACAGGTTGCCGAGAGAGGTGGTGGAGTCTCCATCCTTGGAGCTATGTAGGCATGGTCCTGGGCAACTAGGTCTGCATGGCCTGGCTTGGGAAGGGGGTTGGACCAGATGAACTCTAGAGGTCCTCTCCAAGCTCAGCTGTTCTAATTAATGTTCTGTTTAATCTAATAATGTAATAATAAAGATCTCCCAGTTTGGAGAGAAGGCTGAGGTGGGCTGTGAGTGTGGATTATAAAATTCTGTGCATGGTGGATAAGCTCTGTGCATACCCTTTGTTCACCAAATCCTACTAATCCTTTCAAGAATTGGAGGGCGCTCTGGTACTGCTGAGAGATCAGTATAATATAAATAAAAATGGGTAGGTCAAATCAAATTGGGGAACCACTGAGACACAACAGCCACTTAATTACATTAGAATTTTCTAACTGAATGCTCTTGATTTGAGATTTGTTTGTAATTTTTCTCAGGGTTGTACTTTTTTAATAGAGACTGTTTGGGCTGCTTTTCAGTGTTAGCGAGCCATATACTAGCACACTGGAAAGAATTTGAACTGTTTAGGAAGAAAAAGCACCTTAGCTGAGACTTGGTGGTGCGATTAGGGAGTTTTCGTTGTGTTTTTTTTTTTTTTTTTTTTCTTTCCTTGTTATTACTGGTATATGGAAAGGCGCACGCAGAAAGAGCTGTGCAGTAGCAGCCTGTTGGTAGAACTTGTCGGCTGGTTTTTCCCAGGCTGCTTACCTGGGGAGGAGGCGGAGAGGACCTTGAATCCGGGGAGGTAGGAAGGTTACTAGTTTAAATTGGGGCAACTGGACACTGGTAGTGTCAGTTGTGTACAGCAGAATCGTGCAAATTGTGTTGGTTGCGTTGGGCCAACTGATGAGCTCGTGATTCTCAGTGCCTGTTGTGATGGTGGAAGAACTAGATGTATGTTTCTTACAGAAGAGCTGTTTCAAACGTGTTATTTGTTAATAAAATGGAACATAAAACTCCAGGGCTTTTTAAAGTCAAATGCTATAAAATTAAGTATTCCTTGCCTTAAAGGCAAATAGGTATTTTTGGTGTGTTTATGAGGAGATATAAAAGTTAATTTGATAATTGTCATTGTCAAGATTAGTAACTGGAATCTTTCCACTTAAATTTAGTAATGTTCTGCATTGCTCCACAAAATGGGGTTTCATTAAATTTGTGCATTTCTCAGTGAGAACTTCTTGACCTTGTCAGGTAGCTCTGATTTTAGCAGATGGCTCCATTTCCCAAATAACTGGAAAAACAGGCAGATTCTGAATATCGCTTGTACAGAGGATACTCACATACTTTGAAACTTAATGGTCTCGAGGACAAACCTACTGATCCTAACCTTGATGAGCTGCAAGCTGGTTTCATTGAACTTGTACTTGCATTTAAATGCTTAATGACATATGCGAAGTAGGTGCAATTCCGAGGCTGATGTCTTATGACTGATGGAATTATTATTCCTGCGTACCTCTGAGGATCAAGCCTGAAAAATGTAGGACTAGAAGACAGAAAATGGGACTTTGAAAGGTATCAGCTCTTGCAAGAAGCGTGGTGTAGCATTGCCAAGCTGATTTAGCACTGCAGGAAGCGGTCGTAACAGTGTCAATACTGAAGTGAAGTTTAATCAGTAATCAGGGATATTGTACTGTATAATTTTTAGTCTGATAACATTCTGTTCATCCTGCCTACTCAGTCGGTAGGTAGCTTATTTCTTTAAAGAGGCAACCGTGTTTCATTCTATATTTTCTTAGGATGATTATGATAAGGGATAGCAAATAGATACTGCCTGAGCTGGTACTGTTTGTTAACATGGGAGATTTAGGACCAAACAAGTCAAAGCTGTGTTTCAACTTTCCTGAGTATGACCCATAGGATTAAATGTATATTCTACCTGGGTTTGAGGTGGGTTTTTTTGCATTTCTAAGCATTTGTTGCTTTCTAAAAAGCCTTGGTCAGTCTTACTAGTTATGTGGAACTCTTCATCTCATTAATGCAGATAGATTTGGTAATTTGCATTTCATTTTCACCATATATACATACTTAAACAACACAACCTAATGGATTAAGCCTTAAAAATGTAGTTAACATTTGCAGACAAAAATCTGTAGTGTATGTTTGGTTGGTTTTTTTTTTTATTATTATTATTTCCTATAACCCAGGTATTTCACTCTTTAAACAGACTTCAATCAGGAAAAAGTAAACAATGAATTGTTTACTGTTTTAAAAGCTGTGGGGAAAATGTATTCTCATTAACCTAGCATATGTCTAGTAACTAATATTATGCACAGGTGTAATGATTGTTTAAGGTTCCCTCTCTAACTTTTATAAAGCCTCTATTAACTAATATTAGTTCAGTTGCTTCCCAAGCCAACAATTTTAAAAAGTGAATCTTAAAGAGAAAGGAAGTCTTTTTGTGATGTTACCTACCCAGCATGTATTCATTAGAAAATTTTTCTGACCTAAATTAAATTATGCCGATGCATAACTGGTTGCTTACAATGAAGTAATTTGCAAAACGCTTCTAAAGCATGAGTAAAAGGAATTTTCTTCTCCCCTTCCTTCGTAGTGTTCAGTGTGGATTGCAGCACAGTCGAATGTCCTCCTGTTCAACAAGTTGTTTGCCCACTGGATAGCTACGAAACCCAAGTCAGGCTGACGGCTGATGGCTGCTGTACCCTGCCCACAAGGTTGGTGTCTTGATGGCTGAGTGGTTTTAACTTGTTCTTTACAATTCAAGTACTATAAATGCAGGATAATAACGCAAACTTCTGTGGCAATAAATGTTAATACACAATAAAAAACCACATGAAGTAGGTTAAAGGTGTATCAGGCTGATGGAAATGTGAAATCTATCTTTTTGAAGCAGAAGAAAATTCTTCTCAGTGCAAATGTACGTGAAGCTGACTCTTGCTAAAATTACTTGGAGGGATTTGTGCCTCTGTTTTTTCAATGTATTCGATTAATTTTACAAGCATAACTTTTTTTGAGAAACTTTGGAAAGTCTTTGATGACGGTAAGGAGGTAAATGATGGAGATGGCAGAAATGCCAGAGAAACTCTCGCCTAGTTAAAGAAAAAAAGGTATTTTTTTATGTGGAAGACCAGGGTAAGAAGCTGAAAGATGGCAGCTATCTGGAACTGTGGGGAAGTTTCAAGTACTTGCTTCCATTTTACTTCTGTTGTTACTCCAGTAGGTATAATTTATCTCAATTCAGAAAAACAAGACAATCTGGAGTTGGTTTTGTTCCACAAATCTGCACCACTGTTTCAGCTCCTGTTTTTACAACAGACTTCCTGAACCCTGATTCAGCAATATGCCCAATAAATATGAATTCAAGCAAAAAGTACCATCGCCGAAAATATTTTACTTAAAAAAGGAAGTATTTCTTGTAGATGCAACTAGTAGGTTTATTTGGTGTGAACGTCTTTGCACCGTACAATATTGCCATGTTCTCAACCCCTTGTGAGATTGTAAAGCAGCGATGAACTTGTAAAGAATTCAGGAAGTAGAAACTGGCAAAGGTTGTGTAATGAATCGGGGATCTTCCCTGTTGGGTACCCTTTGGGCACACATTTAATATGGTGACTTCTTTGTAACTGGTGTTTCCATGAAATATGAGGGTCTCTTATTCCATGGAGAGTTAAAAATATATCTATTTAAAAAAAAATTGACAGGAAAAGAGATGTGAGGAACCTCATGTAGTGGCATAATCCTCTCTATTAAAATTTGAAAATATATTTCTAAATGCAACACATTTTATTTGTAATTATAGAATATACGTAGTAATCTGCTACTTAAAAATACTTACTTTCCCTATTCAGTGAATGCTACAAATGTTCTTTCATTCAGAGTTGTTGTTTTCTTTTCTGGTTGTTTTTTGTTTTTGTTTTTGTTTTTTTTTTTTTTTTTTTTTTCTGAAATTTTGGACCAGAACTTGGTATGGATTCTCAGTATCCTCCCTTTCACTCTTTAACATATTCTCATTAACCTTAGTAGGAGTTGCGATAATTCCACATTAGTTGAGAGCTGACCTGACTAGTTGGGATTGCAGAGGAGGCTGTAGATTTTTAACATTGCTGCTAGTACAGCTCAGCATGTTCAAAACAACTGGAATAAAATGCTACCAAGGACTGTATTTGGAAAGATAGATTACAAAGTCAAAGAAGCAATCTCAGATTAAAATTTCATAAATTTCTAGTTTAGATTAACACTCAAACATTCACACAACAGACCACTGAGATTAGTGGTAGATTTTTATTTCCAAATTTGTTTCAACGTGATGGATTAAAGAGTGATAAATAGGCCAAATTATTTTTGTTTCCTGAATGTAAAATTGTGTTCTATTTTTCTACAGTCTAATATAAGTTGTGGTTTGATTTTTTTCTGTTGCTTGGGTGGAGGGAATGAAAAAATATCTACTTTATTCTGTGTAGATGATAACTTCAGTGGTCCTTCTGTCAAGGAACATAGAGTACTGAGAAAATAAAACTTCATTTACTTCAGAAAAATGACCAACTGGAAATAATTTTCTATTTCTAGCACATGCATGCAAACTGATGTTATATAAAACACCTAGAGCAAACATGTCCTTGAAAAAATCTTTTTATTTCTTTCATAATGTTTAAAAATAAAACCAGCTGGTTTGCTGTGTGTTCACTGTAACTGATGCAGCTCTGGAGTTTGTGAATTGTTAGATAATTGTGAATCGCATGGGAACCTCTTGGAAATCAGATCGCTGTGCATTGCTGGGATCAGAGTTTAACAAGGGATCGGGGCTGGGATGGGTGAGTTCTTAGCTCCTGGAGTCGTATGATCGGATCGGGGTTTCTGAGGTTTGTGTCTGTTAATATCTCCACCCTCCTTGACGTGTAAAACTGGAAAAAAACATAATTAGCATAATGTAGACCTAAGTCTGCAGGCAGGTTGAAACAATTATAAGTGTTTTATATTCCACCATTAATTTTTAATTCAGTGGCTCAGTCTGTGTTGCTGAATTATGTATTATGTGGGTTGCTAGATTTTTGGATTGCCTTAATTCAGCCAAAGCAATAATGCACTTTTTAATCGAGTAGATGAGAAGGAAAGACGAAAAGCTGAATCTGGCAGCAATAAGTTCATATAGATGCTTTACATGTCGTACGCCAGCTAGAAATGTATTTATTTATTTAGGTTTTAATATACTGCCATGCTTCTTAGGGAAGACAGTGCCATAGTTGTCATTCATGTGCCGCAGGTAAAGATCGTACTTGAAGAGGGGTATAGAGGAACGCAGACATGGGGATAATCAGAAAAGAAAGATTAGATGAAGGTTAGAGGGAAGATAATATATGTATGAAAAGAGAGAGAGCAGAAAGGGGAAGTAAGTTCAGTTACTTGGAACATGAAAGTCAAAGCATTTGAATTCACATTCAATGTTACCTCAGATTTGAGGAAACATTGGACCTTTATATTCGAAACCAGGGCCTCTATCCCACGCGATACTTGCATTTCAAAACTGTAGAGAAAGTCAAAGTGCAGATTTATGGATGAATGACTCTACATTGGGAAAAGGGGATGTTTTTCCTTAATTCTGGAAGTTCTTACTAAACTAATTCTGAAATATTACCATTGCATTGACTGTGATTCAGTTTAGAATCACCTAAATCCATATCGTATCTCTTTTTAATCATTAGAATTAAGTTCAGAAGTGGCACTGTATGACTTAATGTACATTTGAGAATAATTTATTAAAAGCAAAGACTGTTTCATAAGGTCGTAGACTTCAGACTTCATGAAACTACTTTTGTTAATGGACTTCTTCAAGAAATTATGATTATTTGTTTCATTTACTGCCACTAAAATAAAGGCTTAATACCAGCAGAACCGGAGAGGTGTCGAGGCAAGTATGACGATTGAGGGTGGATGGCATCTCACTGACTCTGCTAGCACGTAGCTGACAGCTTCGCATACAGCAGGACCAGATTGACTTCTCTCGCCCATCTTGTTCTTGGCTGGCTTCTTGTATGTAACTTGCTAGGAAAACAGAGATCCTGAAGTCTGGTGTTGAGATGGCATTCACAGTACGAGTGAGCTCTTGAATGCATATTCATAATATTGAAAACTCTGATACCCTAAGTTCTTGTGCTTGCATTCAGAGATCATATTTAGTTTCACACTGATTTCTAATGCAGTACCGCAAACAGAACACCCTACTGATTGGGCATTAATATCAAAATAGCAGTTGGTTCAGCTTTCATCAGGCTGTCATGAAATACTAACCTTAAATTTCCCGCTGTTAGGTTAGGAAAGCTAAACGATATGTCTGTCTCTGGTCTTGATAAAGATGCTCCCTTCTCCAAGGAGCTTATCAAATAACAATGTATTAGAGCTCTTACAGAGAACACGTTATCACAGTTTTATTAACGTAAGTCTGTAGTCTTCTGTCACACAGTTAAATGAAGGGATGATCAATATGAAGTGTATAGAATCCATTATCTTCGGATGTGTCCAATTTTTCCATTGTGAATGAATTTTCTTCAGATTTTCAGATCCCTTTGAGAATTTCTTTTTTTCATAAGTGTAAAAAACTGTTTAACTTTTTATCTATGAAGAATGAACTGTAACAACGAGAGCTGGTATCAGTGATTAGTGTTGGCTTAATATCTTTATTGCTCACATGGTTTTGTACATTTTTCATCAGATTATATACAGAGAAGTAAATGGCATGTTTGGATAGCTTTGCAGTGAATACTTTTGGATTATCTTTTTTTCTTTCTGGCTGCTCTCTTTGTTAGAATTGGTTGTAAATTTAGCCTTTACTAGGTCTCCTCTTCTTGCTCTAGTTTTATCCTGTTGCTTCTGTGCTCTTCTCCCTTCATGTAATCTAAGTACAGGCTTTTCCCTTGCTCCAGTTTCCATTCTCCCTGCTGTTGCCAATTACAAATCTTGGAACTTCAAGATTCATTCAGTGCTCTGTTATTATGGAGATCTTTTTTTCAGCTATTTGTGGTCAGCCTTTTAATAAAACCAGATAAACCAAGAAACTTCTGGAGAACCAGAAAGATATTGTTACTGTGCCAATATTAAAAAGAACATTAAAGCCTGGTTATCTTGACATCAGTTCTGAGAAAAATAGTGGGAAAACTGATAAAGCATTGAATTGAGAAGGATTAAAGGATACAATTATAGCTAAAAGCCACCAGTGTTACTTTGACAGTTTTATGAAACTTGCTTTTGTCTTTTGAAGACAGTAAGCTTGCCTTAAAAATCTGATCATCAGAGCACCTTCTTTCTCAGTTTCTGTCTTCTGTAGTCACCAGTCCCTTTCCTTGGATTGGTTTCTAGCTTTTAAAAAAATAATAGGGCTTTTAAATTAATAGAGTCTTACAAATCCTCCCCTGGATTTTGGAAGTGAATCAGTCCCGATGAGTTGGCGTCATGGTCCTTTGCCTCCTGAGGTGAGCTCTTGCAGCATGCACGTGCTGGCTTGAATATCTTGCTGATAGTGTAGGATATAATAATATACTTCTGAGAGGAGAGAAGCATCCAGGAATATGTTTGCTAAATCCCAGTAATAAGTTTGCTTGACATACTTATTTAAAAAGCTCACACCAGAAGCCTGAATATGTTCTAGACTAGAAAAAGTTTAGAAATAAGTTATATATGTTTATCCATCAAAATCTCCAGTAGTTTATTTTATATCTGAGTC